GGGAGGGGAGCTGCTGCGTTGTAAATTTTGGTCAATGACATGAGACAAAGTATATGTGAACTGCTGTATGAAAAGTGAATTTACTCTGTAAATCTTCATCCAAATCCTAATAAAAAAAAAAAAAGAAGTCAGAAAAATCAAAGGACTGACAATCTCTTCTGTTCTTCTGTCTCGAATTCATATACAATTTCCGATGAACAGGAAATTCATAATGAATAGGAAATCTTCACACAATGAAGATGCTTATTTTGGAAGATAGAGACTGTAATACCAAATCCTCAGAGCAACAAATATTATTGACAGACAGGTAGAGAACACACTACAACACAGTTGTTTTCGCTTTAAGGAAAAACCGGACCTATATTCCACTCCCACCACTCCTCTGTCAGTTTCTTGTACTGTGGTGGCTTGCATGTTGCTGTGAGGCTGGAGGGTATGCCACGGGAATTTCAAATACCAGCACAGTCACCCATGGTGGACAGGTTTCAGCATAGCTTCCAGACTAAGACACAGAAAAAGGGAGGGGTCATCTACTTCTCAGAGAAATGGCCAGTGAAAACTTTATAAATAGCCCTGAAACACTGTCCACAGTGCCAGAAGATAAGCCCAGAAGGCACTCAAAATATGACTTGGGAAGAGCTGCCTTGTCAAAGTAGAATCAACCTTAATGACGGAGATTAACAACCTGCAATATGCAGAAGATACAACCTTGCTTGCTGAAAGTGAAGATGACTTGAAGAACCTACTGAAGAAGACTAAAAGTAGTCTGCAGTATGGATTACATCTCAATATAAAGAAAACAAAAATCCTCACAACTGGGCCAATAAGCAACATCATGATAAATGGAGAAAAGATTAAAGTTGTCAAAGATTTCATATTACTTGATTCCACAATCAATACCAATGGAAGCAGCAGTCAAGAAATCAAACAACGGAAAAATAAATAAATACATATATACATACGTAAATGAAAAAGAAATCAAACAATGGGACTTCCGGTAAGATGGAAGAATAGGCAGACAAGTGACACAGACCCTCTTCAACAAAGAAAACAAAAACCAATTGACAGAGATACAGAAGATAATCCTGGAGCCCTGAGCTTTGAAAGGAACTCCACAGAAGTGGATTATGCACCAACTAGCGGAAAAACCGAAATGAGAACAGTGAGTACAGAGACAGTCGGAGCCACAGACTATCAGCTACTCTGATGTTACCAACAGCCTGAATGTTTCCAAAGTGATGTTGGGACCTGAGTATTGACCTAAAAATCAGCCCTGGTCACCAAGGGCTGCAGGGACGACTGCACTGGTGGCCTATGACTAGGAAGGGAAACAGCAAGGAGGGAGACAACCTGAGCTGTTGACTTTCTGCTGTCCAGAGGGTGCAGCCATTTTGATTGTTTACACGCGGCAGCCATTTTGGATATTTAAAGTGACCGAGGGCACAGCCATTTTGAATCTTTACAAGTGGCAGCCATTTGGATTTTAAAATGATAGCATTCTCATTCAGATTCCATGGACCTAAGAATAGGCTCTGTTTACCAAGGTTGGGAGGGACATATGGGAGGCTGACAACAGGAAAGGAGACAGGTGGTGAGTGTATAAGTGCAGTCAACTAGTGGATAGAGGAGCACAGCACAGTACCCTGCTTGCATAGATAACATTCAAAGAAAAGGAAAATCATGGGCAAGTCAATCCAACATACAATCACCAATTAAATATAAGCACAAAAATGTCTCAATGCCTTGGAGACAACAGAGCATCACAGTGCACACAAAGAAGCAAGATAAAGCAGGAGAAACAAGGGACCAGAATACAGACCAAAAATACATCCCTGAGGAAGACGCAGCATCGAAACTCCCTGATAAGGAATTCAAAAGATTTATATTTAGGTATCTTCAATGAATTGAGAGGCAGACCAAGGAAAACACAGACAAAATTGAGGAAAACAGAGAAAACCCTACAACAATTTCAAAAGATAATACAAGAACAAAATGACA